GACTGCAGTGTGTGGAGAACACCCGCACACAGAGGAGGAGATCACTAATAGTAGGGCGAGAAATATCACATTCCCATGGTTCGGGGCCAGCTTCTCCATTGGTCAGCAACCGTGTTTGGCTTCCCACAAAGCGGTACTCGTTTATTGCTCGTGTCGGGATGATTGGCCGGGTGTTTCATCCCTTCCCAATCGGGACTTGAAGTCATAACCCTCTCCTCGTATCTTGAGCACAGTCACCCAAATATGTGAAGGGGATTCATTTGACGTATTTTGCCATTCACATTTTCCACAATAACGCTTAATTGTTATATTGTGATATTATATAGCTTGGCGTCGAATTAGGACCAATATTCTGCAATTAGGGCCTTTCCCCTTTAAACATCGGGAAGTTTACCAGCATTGATTGGTTCCAGCATGTCCCACTGCTGGTGAGACGCCAAGGAGTTTGCTTGTATTGAACCAAGGTGCTGATGAAATGCACTCACAGAAGGCCATGCGGCCAATGGTTTGTGTAAAAATATATATTCCGATGTTGTTTTGCATAGCAATGAGGCATTCATTATTTTACCTGTCACGTAACGCAGTGCTCTTGGAGACCGGATTACATGCTTTATTCATACGGATAAATAACACGCAGCAGATTAAACACATTTCAGCCAGAAACCGATGCTTAATGTATGAATGTTGGGGGTGGGGGGTCACATTGCGATGTCTGGAGCCACATCTAACGCGGCGCACGAAAACAGCCTTTGCAAGCTGCTCCGATTGTTGTGTGTATGTATGCTTAACTTTTTTCGCACCGTACCTAGCCAACCGTTCTAAACAAAGTTTCGCGATTTGGGAATACGTTTTACTTTGTCTGGCTGAGTGTCTCTTTCCATTCTAACCCCTCATCATCGTCATCCATGGCCTATCCGCTGTTTGACGATGAAGGTTTTCCCGCGCCATCAACATCTCGCACGGCTTTGCATTGCCGCAGTTATTTTCTTTGGCTGACCATCGAACAGAGACGATCACTGCAACGCGCGCTTTCAGACTCGCTTCTGCGGCCGTCTGGAACGCTCTGTCGATATCAGGAAGCACTGGAGCTATGCACTTTTAAATTTAGATTGAAACGAATTTCTTTAAAACGGCTTTTTGTATTTAGTTTGTTGTCATTCCCCGCCCCTCCGATTAGCACTTCAATGTAATTTTACAACATAATTGTTATTACATGTTTTTTATATTAGTGGAATTCTTTGATGTCTGCCGGCCGAGTCGCCCTTGACAAAGAGCTTCTTAGCTCTACCGGCTTTCACTCAGTGAGAAATACCCTCCTGGTTTTGATACTGAATTTGTGGGTCTCAGTGCGAGTCTACGAGTCTCAGAGAGGATAATTAGCGATTGGGATGAAACCGTCAACTCGTTCCACCTACGAACTGCCTTCAAATCGCAGGTCACTGAAGTCTACGTTTGAACTCAGGATCTCAGCGATCGCCAGCTCAGCGCGCGGACCTCCGAACCATCCGGCCACCTCTGAGACAACTTCGACTTTTGAAGTTCAGACGTTTACGGGGGAGTGCAACAAATTAAATCGACTATAGAGGGAATTTTACCATTCGGGTTTTGATGCGAGGCCTCAAGGTGGTGGGCACAGAGCTCAGGAGATAACAAATAAAACATCTCCGTCTATAAACATGCATCTTCTGCGTGATGCCCCTCGAGTTACACTTGACAGCATGCCTGTCTAAAAAGTATGCAAATATCGTGGTGGTGGTGGTGGTGTTTGTAAACCCAGGTTGAACCTGCAATGTTTTTTGTGTTCACATACAATACATAATGTCATCAAATTGTTTTATTTTCCTGGTTGTTGGTAAACTGGCGTAAGCGCGCTACTAGAAGCCAGGCCCAAAGCGAAATAACCAGAACGTGTTGTGGAATATCACAGACTCGGCTGAAACTAAGCTTCATAAGTGGTGCTGCGGTTCGAAACACAGCGCTGATGAAGCCGGTCACCTGAGTTTGACTCCAGGCCACGGCGAACACCAGTGACGAGTGATATCTTGAACCGATCCTAGCTGTTTATCCGGCTTCACCAACCAACGTGGTGAAGTATGGTCAAACAGCCTCATTGACCAACGCGGCACTACGTTACAACAACCGCCATTCGCCAGTAAGTGACGTCCCCACGGCGCTGGTGCCAGGCTAGGTGCATCTTGATGCCACGTGAAGTGTGGAAGGCTCGCCGCTGGCAGGTCAGGGCACAGGCCCACAGGTGCCATGGGTTGACTGATACGACTGGCAGATGCACCACCTGTGCTCCCCACTGCGCCAACTCGCTGTGTTTTAGCCTCACGACGCTCCGCTCGTTGTTGTGAGCGTCGCTGAATGACGACTGCCTCCAGCTATTATGAAGCCACTGGGGCTATGCACTTTGAAATCCTAGATTTAAAACTCATTTCTTAAAACTGCTCTTTGTGTTTAATTTGTTGTCCTCCAGGTTAAATAAAGATTTACATTCCGAACTCGTGTCGACATCTCGCCTGCATCTCTGGAGTTTCCGTCTTGTCGATCACATCTCTTGTCGTTATCATCATGAGCAGATACTCTGCCAAATGTGTGTACAGTTTTGTATTTGTTTACGAGATGTGTTGTTGTTGTTGTTTTGATGCTGCTAGTCGAATCGCTTGACATGTTTCTGCGGTGTAATTCCTGCGACCTCGCCCTCAAAGAGCTTCATGGGCCTTCATTCCTCACTGATAGCGTCAATAAACAAATACATTTGAATCTTAATATTGTAGTCAACGTAGTTTTATTCTGCAATACTACGTTGCCAGTGGTGCTGTATTACAAACATTAAAAACAAATTAACACATCCGGTAATAGAGATAAATCCTATTAACATTAGGCGACGTTTCGGGCAATGACCCTGCCTCGTAGCACTTAACCCACCTCCGATTAGCACGGTTGGCTACGTACGGCGTGAAAGAAGTTCAACGTGAACACAACTTGCCCTGGTCCGGCAAGTGCCCTCGGCTCCACATTCTCCCGGAGCGCATCGCTCCACCTCCCTCCCCTCTCGTGTACCGCTCAGAGGGCGGCTGTCAAAGGTAAAGATCCCCCGTGTAGCCTGTAACAGACTGTAGGGGCAAGTGCTGTTCGCGAGTGGCACCGACGAGGCCGGCACTGTGGTACACGAGGAGGTGGGTGGCCAGCACCACGCCGGCAGCCTTCGTCGATGATTAGTGGCGATGTTTACACACCGCACCAGGTACTAATTTGAGGCTGAGTCGACCTAGGGGAGACCCAGGGCCGGTGCAGATTTTCTTCACCGGTGTTGGCCCCGAGCAGGATTTGAACTCTGATGGCCAGGTTCGTAGTGCAGCGCGCTAACCAATACACACACAATACACACACACTACACACACCACACAATACACAGACACTATACACACTCACAATGCACACACTAACCACACACACTCCACACACACGATACAAATTCACAATGCACACACTACTCACCACACACACAATACACACACACAATACACACACAATACACACTACACTATACACACTACACTAAACTCTACACTACATACTACACTACACGTGCGCTGTGCGGCCGTTGCTCTGCCCTTGTCGCTCAACGCACGTGCGTGACCCCCCCCCCCACGCCTGGCACTCAGCCACAGACAAAGATCCCCCGGGTGGCGCACACGCGCCGTCGGGGCAAGGGCTGCGAGCGAACAAGCCCCCGCCGCGAGGGTTTGCCAAACGCCAGTCCCGCGGCGACCCACCGCGACCCACGCTGCACGCGCCCGATGATTGTTCAACACGTCCCACGTGACCAGTCAAGCAATTGACGCCGTCTGCGTGAATCGAGCCGATTTAAACGAAGATTGCGACCTCAGCGCGCGTGTGAACCCGCTCCCCGCGCGGGAGGGGTCACGTGGGGGGGCGTCACGTGGGGCGTGTTTCACAATCATCGGGCGCGTGCAGCGTGCAGCCATTTAAGTTTCATTTTCATGGGGAAATAAATTGGTGGGTCGCGAGGACTGGAGTTTGAGCAAACGCTGCATGACTTCCGTATTGTGCACATTGTAAAGAATTAATACCACTACCGTGTAGTGTAGAGTAAGGTACCACTACCGTGTAGTGTAGAGTAAGGTACCACTACCGTGTAGTGTAGAGTAAGGTACCACTACTGTGTAGTGTAGAGTAAGGTACCACTACCGTGTAGTGTAGAGTAAGGTACCACTACTGTGTAGTGTAGAGTAAGGTACCACTACTGTGTTGTTAGAGAGGAACTTGGGATGCGTCTCGAAGCGCGCTGACGTCGGGAGAGGAAACGCGGCGTGGGGAGCGACTCGCTCCGTGTGCCTGTGCGTGTGTGTGTGTACCACGTGTGTGTGTGTGTACCACTTGGGGCGTGTGTGTGTACCACGTGTGGATGTGTGTGTGCGGCGTGTGTGTGTACCACGTGGTGTGCGTGTGTGTGTGTACCGCGTGGGGCGTGTGTGTGTGTACCACGTGTGTGTGTGTACCACGTGTGGATGTGTGTGTGTGCGGCGTGTGTGTGTACCACGTGGGGCGTGTCCGTGTGTGTGTACCACGTGTGTGTGTGTGTGTGTACCGCGTGGGGCGTGTGTGTGTGTGCGGCGTGTGTGTGTGTGTACCACGTGTGTGTGCGGCGTGTGTGTGTGTGTGTACCACGTGGGGCGTGTCCGTGTGTGTACCACGTGGGGCAGCGTGTGTGTGTGTGTACCACGTGTGTGTGCGGTGTGTGTGTGTGTACCACGTGTGGATGTGTGTGTGTGCGGCGTGTGTGTGTGTGTACCACGTGTGTGTGCGGCGTGTGTGTGTGTGTACCACGTGGGGCGTGTCCGTGTGTGTGTACCACGTGGGGCAGCGTGTGTGTGTGTGTGTACCACGTGTGTGTGCGGTGTGTGTGTGTGTACCACGTGTGGATGTGTGTGTGTGCGGCGTGTGTGTGTGTGTACCACGTGTGTGTGCGGCGTGTGTGTGTGTGTACCACGTGGGGCGTGTCCGTGTGTGTGTACCACGTGGGGCAGCGTGTGTGTGGGTGTGTGGATATAAGACTCTGAGCCACAGAGCACTGAGCTCACACGCGGATCGCAGCTGCGATTCGTCTACGCAGCAGCAGCAGCAACGCGCTCCGTCAACGTTTCCGTCAAACCCTCCCCACCCATCGTCAAACATCAACATCATCCATTATTCATCGTCACACCTTGCTGAGCCAGCAGTCAGGTGGTGGCTGTAAACATCGATTAGTCTGGACACGTTTCAGCGGCGACAGTCGTAGAACTCGACACTCGCCGTGGGTGCTGAACAGCGGCGGTGCTGCGTGTGGACACACGGAGCGTGGCACGCACAGCGGGTCTCGGCTTCGAATACAGCCGATTTGTATCGCCGGCACGACATTAGCAAGAGGATTTGATGATCCCTGCGGGCAGACTTTAGTCAAATTGCTGCTGCTGAAGACGAAGAAGACCGACACGACCCGTCACACGCAGAGTCTGCATCGTGGACCGCAGCCACTCGCGAGTCGGCGGACCTCTCGGCAAAACCTCGTCGAATACATTTCTCCCTCGCGCTCCACGTGTGGCCATGGAGGCCCCGTTCTACCACGACGACGTGGTCGGCCTTCACTCGTTCGGCCAGGTGAGCGCCTTCGCCAGCTACTCGAGCAAGAACGTCGCCCTCCTCCGGCAGGGCAAGGCGGCCGCGCAGACGTCTCCGCTGCCGGGAGTGCTGCAGGCCACCGCGTGCGTGGGTGGTCCACCGCTGCTGCCACCCTCGTCTTCGACGTCGTCCCTCGTGTCTTCAGCATCATCATCATCGCCACCATCGCCACCTCCTCCTCCTCCTCCTCCCGCACCGCCGTCAGCGTTGTCATCTGCTGCATCTTCATCATCCTCGTCGTCTTCGACCTCGTCTTCTCCATCCGAGTCGGCCATGCTGAGGCTGTCGAGCTCTGACATGGAGCGCTTCATCATCCACCACCACCACCGGCAGCAGCAGCAACAACAACAGCACCACCACCTCCACCACCTCCACCAGGGCGGCCCGGGGCTGTCCGCGCCGCTGTCCCCGGGGCTGCACGGCGCCGTCTCGGGCGCCTTCGGCCGCGGCGGCGGCAGCGCCGCCGAGGAGGAGAAGGACAACTTCGCCAATGGCTTCGTGCGCGCCCTCGAGGAGCTCCACAAGCAGAACATCCGGCACAGCGCCGCCTCCTCCTCCTTCTCCTCCTCCTGCTCGCCCGCCCTGGTGAGCCAGCTCCACGGCTCGGGCTACGAGGCCCCCTCCCCCCACCAGCAGCAGCAGCACCTGCTGCCCAGCTACGCGCCGCTGCTGCCGCAGCACCACGCGGCGGCCGATGTTCGCCAGGGGCCCCCCTCCTCCTCCTCCTCCCCCGCCGCCTGCTACGCGGACCTCGGCGGCTACGGGCCGCAGCTCGGGCTCGCGTCCACAGGCGGTGGCGGCGGCCTCCAGCAGGGCCTCGCGGGGACCTCTGCTGGAGGCCTCGAGTACGGAACGTCGGCCCTGTACGCGCACGCACAGAGCGCGGGCCACGCGTCCTCCCTGCAGTACCTGCCCAGGTCCCAGCAGCAGCAGCAGCAGCTGCTGCTCAAGGAGGAGGAGGAGGAGACCCTCCAGACTGTGCCCGACCTCATGCACGAGGGTGGTGGCGGTGGTGGAGGACCTTCCAACGCCTCGTCAACGTCGTCCTCTTCCTCCTCCTCCTCGGCGGCGGCCACAGTGAGCGACCTCGTGGGGCGCGGGGCCACGGCGCCGGTGGACATGGAGTCGCAGGAGAAGATGAAGGTGGAGCGCAAGCGGCTGCGCAATCGCATCGCGGCGTCCAAGTGCCGCAAGAGGAAGCTGGAGCGCATCGCCCGCCTCGAGGAGAAGGTGGCCGCGCTCAAGGCCAACAACGCGCAGCTCGCGGGCACGGCGGGCACGCTGAGAGAGCAGGTGGACACGCTGAAGCAGAGGGTCCTCAACCACCTGGGCAGAGGCTGCCGCTTGGCCATTGGGGCCACCCAGGGCGGCACGGCTCTGCAGGCCTTCTGATGGCCGCGGGCGTTTGATGGGGAGGTCACGCGATTCACCGAGCCGGCTGGTCGGGCAGGCGCGGCAAGTGGCAGCGGCAGCAGCAGCGGCAGCTGCATCCACGAGAAGGAGGCCAAACGGGAGAGAGTTGACGGTGGGGTTTTTCCCCATGAAGGTTGTGGAGATGATGGAGATGATGATGATGATGCGTCGAGAGGGGCTTGCGTGGACTGAGCTCCTCGTGCTCACGGCGGAGGGCGAGAGACGAGCGGCAAGGAGGGCATCGAGGCGCGTGGATCATTCTTCTCGAGACTGGAATTCTGGCTGTGATGATGATGATATGCAGCGGCGTCGATCGAGATTTGGCTCCCAAAGTTCAGTGCCCACTTACGATTTAAAATATGAAATGTCTCGTAAAATCTGAAGTTTTAAATGAGTGGTACATTAGCAGGATACGGTGGCGAAAAAAGCAGTGGATATGATGGTACATCCCACTGCAGTACCGTACTACGTGAGTCCTGCAGTACTGTGGTGGTAATGTGGTGGTACCTGTGGTGGTACCTGTGTTGGTACATGCCACTGCAGCACTCTACGACTAAAATACGAAAGCATGGTCGGAAATTGAAATACCGAGATTGTAATGTTTACGCGCTAAAGAAAATTGTGCGATTGAATATTTGCGACCGCAGATTGAATGTAAAGATGTTTAGAAAGGAGGAGGAGGCATTTCTCTTGAGATGACCTATATTATTATTTATGTGCTTATGGATCTTTCCCTTAAAGGGACCGGCAACTGCCGTCCGAGCTTTCGGTGGTGGTCTTAATTTGATAGTTTCGGTGGAGTCACCGAAAAGGTGGTGGTGGTGGTGGTGGGGGGCTTCAGTTCTCACAAGGGAAGTGGCGACGTGGAATCGAGCTGGTTTCAAAACAGCTCTTCTTGAGGCCTGCGAGCGAGTGCAGCTTTAATTGTGGAGGCATTTTGGCTTCGAGAAAAAAGCCGTGAGTCACCACCACTCCGCCTTTGATGAGAAAGCCTTTAAGCCCCCGGGGGGATGCGTGGGTGGTGGTGGTTGTGGATGACGTATTCAACCACCACTGCCAACAACAACTACCCACCACATTTTTTTTATTAAACTCCTACCCCTCGGCAAACCCGCGGGGCTGAAACGTTCCTAGGCCAGAGTTGGGGGGCCCTGATGATTCATGCGGCTTGCAGTGTTACACGTGGGGGCCTTTTGTAATACAATAGACAATATATGGGTCTCAGAAGGGGAGGCGATTTGAAAGTGCCTTGTACAGGCTGAATGTTGTAAGCGGTGCCATATGTGTGTGTGTCGCTGCTGGCTGGGTGGCCAACCAATACGCACACACACACACGTGCATATGTTCGAATTCAGGCTGTGGTTGACTTTGCGACCCACCCCTTCGTGGGAGGGCTCGGTGAGTGGGTTAGTAAAACGCGTAGCCGCCACGTTAAGAGACGTGAACTGCTTTTACAGACTGACTGGGCCCCGCCAGTGATTGTGGACATGAGCACCAGCAATGGTGATGGGCACTGCCCAGTACTCGTTTTATTTGATAAACACTTTGCCTTTGACTATACAGTACTGTGTGTGTAGTTGTATAAGCTGTCATTATATACATAGTCCTATTTTTGTGATTGGCTCCTGCCATATGAACGTGGAATTTCCACTACTGGCTCTGTGGAGGGGTGGGGGGGCGTCCGGCAGTAGAACAGAGCGTCTCGCCACGGACTCTCTCACCTTGAGCTGCCGCCGCCGTCGATATTTGTTCGTCTTCAATTTGACGATGAGCGGAGCGTGGAGTTCAAGGTGCCGACAGCTGTGTTTTAAAAGCTCGACAGTGTTCACCAAAATGTGTGGTGGTGGTGATGGGGAAGGGAGGGAGGGTGGTGGTGGTTATTTTTTTCTGTGTTGCTCTGCCCGCTTGCTGCACGGTAAGAAAGGGCCAACACTCAGTACGCAAGCCAAGCCCGAGTTAGCAGCACCATGGCAACTCGAACAAGATGTTCGGTAATGGATGGTTTGTCAAACGTCTTATTATGATTTTACTACTGTGAAGTGTAAATTTGACTTCAAAATCCATATCGACAATTATTTTTTTTCGAAGTCAAATGTGAGTCATGATTTGCCAATTCGGTCAAACACCAATCACACACACGCACGCGCGCGTGTAAAATGCAATTTGCGTAGCTGCTATAGATCTGTGTTTGTGTTTCTAAAGGCACCCGGGCACACACACGGATTAACTGATGCTCTGACATTCGTTGAAGCACGGTGTAATTCACAAGCAGACATTCCATGTGGTCGAGCGATTGTTACTATGGTTTCACCGACTGACTCACATTGGAAAAGTTAAAGAAAACCTATATTGGGGAGTCGATTCAACCCATAATCACCCCCAGGAATTGGGGGGTTATAAAATTGGTACTACTTTATGGCAATGTTCAGGGCGCCACGGTGGCTATGAGATGTTAACTACCTCGCCTGGTCTACAGGAGGTCGTGGGTTCGATCCCGACCCTGGCGCCTGCTGCTGCTGCTGTCTATGTGGTGTGTTCTCCCCGTGGGGGCGTGGGTTCTTCTCGGAGATCTTGGGGTTTTCCTCCACGTTTAGAATAATGCGTTTAGGGTATTTGGGTGTTATACATTTTCACGTGATAAACCATTTAATTGGGATATATTTGTGGCCAGGTCGCTAAGGAAAAAAGAGCTATGTAGCTCATTGGGCCTTACCTGGTAAAGTTAAAAAAATAGTTTAGTTTTAATGCGGAATTCCCACCACTGGTTAATATGCCTGCGCAGGGTGACCCTTTGAATTCGAGACAGATCCAAATTTCAAGATGACGTTTCACAGTTTCCACAATTTTCTGCACCATGTGACACGATGTTCTGCTTACAATTTACAAATCGTTCTGAGTGCGTAAGTGGTTTATCTATATGAAGTGGTGTCTTTAATAGTGAGGACTGCTCTCAATATCTGGAATGGATTTTTTTTTATCAAACTTGGCCTGGCATGGTATAATTGGATTGCGGAATGGCCCTTGGAGGAGGGATTTTTTTATAGTCCGAATCCATTTGTGGTGTTCCATGCCAGGATTTAGATTTATCAATGACCAACTCTGTGGTGTTAAACTCGGCGGTTGGTCAAACTAACTTGGAGTCCATCATACGGACTAATGTGAAACAAATGTTGCATCAAACACATTGTACTGTATTCATTTTATCACCATTTTTTTGTATCTTCAATAGATGTATAATTTCCTGGTTATTTTTTGTGGTCTTTGAAACAAAATAGATACTTTGACATGTATTAACGTTTACCGGCTTTATGTGAATATTTTTCAATCGATTTGTAATTTAGTTTTGAATGAAAAATGCAAATACATGGAAAAATACTGTCGTGCTAAAAGTGCTAATGGCTACAATGCTTTGGTTAAGAACGCGTAGACTTTGACAGCCAGGCATATCGGAGTATGGTTTCCTTGATTCGTGCGAGTCTATATATTACATGGACCTGTTGTGTGTAAAATCTTAACACTTTGCAAGCACTCGGCAAGGATTCACGATGGTGGCGCTTGGGATCTCTTGAGAGCCCATTGGTTGACGTGACCACTACACGCGTGTTGTTGTGAGCGCTTCCGGTTGCCTTTGATGTTTGATGTCGCAGACGAGAAGGATGGTGTGCGTCTCGACAGAGTAGGGACTCTTGAACGTCAATCCATCATCATCACCACCACCATCATCATCTCTGGGGTAGATAAAATAAGCTCCACCCTTCGCGAGGATGTCTGGTAATTGGTACAAGTCAGCGGTGGTGTTGTCACTGATGGACTGGCACCTGCCATGACAATGTGGAGTTGTAAAAATTGGCTTATATTTCTCCCAGTTGCTGGATAGAGCCTTGTCCTCAGTGCCCTTTTTTGCAACTAATTGGTAATTTATAGAACAAATTAAATGATACTGTATATAGGATTATTTTAATTGAAAGAAATATTTATATATTTTGATCTCTCAGTTTAGATGCTACCACAGTACAATATATAGCACTTGTCCAACGAAGCCTATAATCACCATCGTCTTCACCATCATCATCTCATCGGGGTGGCTGATATGAGTACGACCTGGCGTTGATTGCGCCACGTGTGCACAGGAAGTCAACAGCGAGAGAGTTGTCTTGATTTATTTACAGACTAACTATGCCACGGTAATGTGGAGTTTATTAATCACTGCTGTCGAACGGTGAAGTACGACCACATTATTATGCTACTTTTTTGTGTTTAGCTGCTACTGTTACATAAATGATAATTACGTACCTTAAGTGAAAAAAAAACTTTATTTTCTGTTACCTGATGTGCCAGTTGTGTTTTTTTGTATTTTCTGCCAAAGAGGCATTCTAGCACTGTGTATTTAGAAATGGGCATTTGTTACGCGTAACGCGGTCTACATATTGAAAGCTATACATCGTGGCGATTGTGGCTTACATACGATTGAAAATAAATAAATGTTGCAAACGAGTCTCGGATTGGTCTTCTGCTGAGTCATCCGTCTGCTCTCCGTGCCAACCACTCCCTAAAATTATGTTTTGACGGGAAGTGTTTTGAGACTCAAAGCCAGACAAACACAGACACACAGGGCCAGACGCTTCTGGATTCCGAACACCAGTGCACGTGTCGGAGAAGTATTGTAATACAGGAGAAGCGACGTCTAAGTTAGGCCAGGGAAGAGACTCGGAAGTAGTGCAGACGTCATGGGGGACGTTGCTGAAACAGGCATCAAAGTGGCTCCCAGAGGAAGATGCTGCTGGCGGTGAGACTGTTGGTTGACTCGGCCTTAAATGAGTACCTGGTGCGCTGTGTAAACATCAGCACGGGGGGCACCGGGCGTGGTGCCGGCCACCTACGCCCTCGTGTGCTATGTCAACTTTCGTAACTGCTACTCGCTAACGGCACCTGTCTCGACAGTATGTTTTAAAAGCTACACGAGTGAACTTTGTCTTGTATGAGATTGTAAAAGTAGTCTTAGGATATCGGCTGTCGACTGGAGTCTAGCAGAAGGAAGGAAGCGATGGCGAGGTGTGGTGACATCAGAAGCAGCGGACTTGGTGACCTCTTGACCCTGGCTTTAAAAAATAATTTAATTCCAAAGTGACCTCATAAAATGCATGTTTTATTTTAATAAAACCTCTGATGAATGTAGCAATGTTTTGGTGTAATGGGTTAATATGCCTCACCTGGAAATGTATCCGAAGATATAAAGGAAGGCGGAATGTGTCCAGGCCATAATGTGTTGTAATACATTTACACGTAGCTTGAATATACACTTGAGGCCATGTATAACGTGTTAGCAATGCTGGCACACACATCACGATGTCCATGTAGTCATGTCAATTGCTGTTAACCTAACTTCATTATTACCATCAACATCAGGCATGGTCCATCCACTGCTGGATGAAGGCGTCCCCAATCCGATGCAAGATTTTGGAATGAATCTAATAATTTGGTTTAATAATGCTGATTTGTAACGTGCACAATTGTCACTCGCCCAAGGCAGCGACCCTGAGCGGCGGAGCCCAGCTCAGAGATCCGTTCAGTAAAATAAAATAAATGTTGTTTGAGAAGCCGCTTAAAGGTAGGTAGGTTTTCGCGACCAATATCTATGAGGTTTTGTTTGGGCTAGAGTGCATACATATAAATGTGTTGTCAAATCTGCCACCACCCCACACAGCTAATTAGTGTATTACTCTCTAACACACTGGTGTGCTGCAGTACATAATTGGCACGTTTTGATTTCCGAGACAAACCTCACTAATTGACTGTGCCGAATGGTGGCGGGTTTGATGACACATTTACGCGATTTAACCCAAAAAAACGTGATTATGAATCAAATTATTTGGTTCTGCAGCTGCTGCTTTTGGCTGTGTGTGACGCACAATCACACAATACAACATTCGTCAATAACACTGCGGCCACAAAGTAAACAACTGATACACAATGTAGATACTAGATACACAATGTAATGGGAAATGACCTTTCTTGAGCGCACACAAATTAAGCCCATCATTTACACGCTATGTAGAAGGCCCATTTCCCAAAACGTTGCCAATTTTTCAACAAAGATTAATGTCACAGTGTTATTGCCGAATCTGTTTAATCAAATGGAAGATCGATAATTTGTTCATTTGTATTCTGCAGCTGGAAGGCTCTCGGTGGGTTTTTCCCACAGGGAGAAAAAAATTACAATGCCGTGTAAAGTTTAAAAAAACAGAACTGGGGATTTTCCTCCGTACAATATACACAAAGATCCCCAGTATAGCCTTAACATACTGCTGGGGCAAGTGCTGTTAGCGAGCACCTATGAAGGCCGACACGACACCCAATGGGGTGGGTGGTCAGCACCACGCCCGGCCGCCTTTGTCTCCCAGCGGCGATGTTTACACGCCGCACCAGGTACCCAGTGCACACGCACACACGCACTGCACACACGCACACACGTGGTAGGCGTGGTCCGTGTCAACGTCAGGGCGATTCCAGTGACGCCAGCCCACGCACTTCCTTTTACCCTTATATGGTGTGAGGGGCTGCGACGTCACGGGCACCCCCCCTTCCTCCGGAAGTGTGACGTCATGTTTACGGGAAGCTCAGGGCCCCGCGTGCTCGTGTGACTCAGCCTCTTGCGGAGGCCACGTGTCCTCAGGAGACCACGTGACTTTAGGAAGCAACGCGTCTTCAGCAGGCCCCATCAAATCATAAGGGAAAAAAACAAGTTTTCCTGGCTGGATTCACGCCTGCCTGGCTGGATTCCTAACACGTGCGCGGTGACGTTACCAGACACATCTGCGTGAGGACGTCTCCCACATCCCACATCGCGTTGGCGTTTTATCCTGGTCTCTTGAGATCTGACCTGGTAAAACCAAAAATAAATTCGAGCTTGAAGCTATCATTGGCCATTGTCCACTGCTGGATGAAGTCATCCATACATCTCGCTGTGTAGAGCTTCTACCATCACTCCCACACGTTAACGAATGTCATCACTCCGTGCAAATCCATAGCAATGTGCGAAACGTTTGCAATCTGCACATTTCAAGCTGCATACAGAGTGCGCAAAGAAGCATATATGCACGCTTGGAATTGGACTGACAGTAGAACAAATGGATGTGAGCGAGTGAAAATCTAATGAGGGCATTATGATTCAGGCCTGGCTTGAAGATGACATGAGAGGTTGGTGCCAGAAAGATGTGGCACTACTTGAATGTATTGGCACAAGGCAGAGGAAAGTGGAAACATTACGGAATGTGCAGTGGATTCATACGGGGTTCTATCTGCCCATGGATCGTGACGAGGATTCAGAATTGATTGTTTGGGGATCAGATGGCGAACATAGAATGTGTGTCGTGAACCCACCTCCATCCGACACAGCCAATGAATAACGACGTCACGCGAATCAAACTTCCCGAGGGTTCAGCAGCACAGCCCCGTGCGTTGTTGGAGATGAATATTCCAGCATGTTGATGGGCGATACGTTGCGCTGATGCAGCCAGCACCATCACGCCTGCCTGCTGGTTCAAGTTCATGTATTATTAGGTAGAGCCCTGTGAGCCATTCGGCTCTTGAATCGGGTGCAACCGCAACAAACAAAAACCTAAAACATGAAAAGGAAACATCTTAAAGTGACTATGTGACTAAGTGCAAAAAAAAATCCAAGAAAAAACAGCAAAATATTGCAGAAAAAGCACCGTACACCAACGCTGCGTGCGAAAATCCCAGTGGGATGCAAGTCAACAACAACCACAAGACAACTTAGATTATTAGCTGGTGGTAGCTATCAGTTAAAGCTTGTACCCATTTAAATGTGTGCATTCAGGTGAAGTTTCAAGGGTTTTAAGTTAGATTTTTTTACGAATGGTTATACAGTTATCTTGTAATTGTATTTTCACTACAGTATCTAGTTAAGATCTAGGGGATACGAAGAATAATGTAATTAGCATGAAGTTGAATGTTAGAATGAGATAGAGATGTTTATATATTTATGTTTATATATTTTTTATATTATAAGACTGGCTGAGTGGAGCGATTGTTGTACGATGTTTTTTGAGTTCGAATTTTTTTTTGCGCTAAAACCGCATCGGGCAGCTGGGAATGTGAGGACACGTGGAAGAGAGCCGGCACACAGCCCTCGTATTCTTAGCAGTGACACTTGCCCACTCTTGGATTAAGTCAGGCGCATAGTCCACAGAGGGGAGGAGGGTGAGTGTGCAGGATGAACAATACTCCCGTTGTGATGGATTTTCTCGTTATTTTACAGTGGCATTATTGCCGACGGCTATATTCACAGCTTCTTTGTCAAGCCCACCGGAGCATTCCGTATTCAGGTCTACAGACAGACATACACACGTGAGAAAACTGTACACATTTCATAGCTTATGTTGGGGGTAGAGTGATTCGGGGGAGCCATGAATAAATACAGACAGACACACAGAGAGAGTGATACAGACATTCAGAATATGTATTTATACTGGAGGAATCCGATGATCTCTAAAGCACTTTTTCACAGAAGCCCAGTAAACACTGATACAGTACAGATTATGTCGGTGCTGCTTCACGAAACGAGTTCAATTCCCGGCCACGAGGCGAGTGACATCTGAAATGATCCTGGACACCAACCCCCTCTCCAGCCCGCACTGACCAGCGTGGTGAAGTAAGTATGGTAAAGTATGGTTCAGTATGGTGCAGTATGCCCATGACAAAAAGGCACGCGGTCGAGAATGGTGACGGAATGGCAGCCATTTGAGGCTGAGTCGACCTAAGGGAGGCCCAGGACTGGTTAAAATAATCGTCACTTGTGCTGTCCCTTGGGCGAGAATCGAACCCGGGTCCCCAGGTTCGTAGCGCAGCGCGCTAACCACTACACCACCGCTCCCCACTAGTGGCGATAATCACAGCCAGTCACCCACACACACCGGCACACACAGAGCCACACACACACAGCCAGACACACACACAGCCAGTCACACACAACCAGACACACACACCGGCACACACAGAGCCACACACACACAGACACAGCCAGACACACACACAGAGCCACACACACCGGCACAGCCAGACACACAAAACCAACCAGACACACACACAGACATAACCAGACACACACACAGACACACACAAAACCAACCAGACACACACAGAGCCACATACACAGCCAGACACACACAGAGCCACACACACACAGAGCCACACACACACAGACACAACCAGACACACAGACACAGCCAGACACACTGTCGGCGTAGCATCGAGACTGCCTGTGTGCACGGCTGTCTTGCCGCACACGCCCCCATCGAGGACTGGGGGTGACGGAGCGTGGCGGGAGCGAGCGAGCGAGGGAGGGAGTCTGTGGTTGGCACCGCCGTGTCGGCTCGGCTTACGGGAATCGCCTACGGACATTCTATAATCGCCCCCACCCCAGCACCCCCCGCCGGCGTGGGGAGGTGAGGGTTTGTGGAAAATGCCAGACGT